TAAAAAAATATTTATTAAATTATTTAAGTTATTAATGATCACATATTACGTTAAGCTCATTAAATACAACAAAAATATGCTAATGTACACGGTTAGCGTGATCCACGACGGCATCTACTGTGGAAACTGAAAAGTACGTAACATGGATGCCCTCCTCCAATGAAATACGCATGTTCTCTTTCTTCTTTAAAGATAGAAAATCTTAGCTCATAAAGGTGCTTAGAAATTAATTGAGTAACGAATTCAAACCTTTGGCTTACGTCTAATCTCAACTATCTTTTCTTAATAGTTCACCTTTAGTGCTGCTTTCGTTCGTATGTATATTTATTTTTTTAAAAAAAAATTATATGTAATTTTATGTAACATTTTTACATTGCATATTAAAGTAAAATTTTTATAAAATAAATTTACTTTAGAATAAGTGAAGAACTGATAAAAAAAAATTGAATTACTCTATATCAATATGTTTATATGTAATTATCACACGAAATTAATTTCTTTTATCATCATCCGAAATTAAAATGCCTTCAAAGAAATAGACTCTTTAAAAAAAAAAAAATCAGTAAATGAAGAAGTTCATGCATATAGGTTTACCTATTATGTATTTAGATGCTATTTGTTTTTTTCTTTTTCTTTTTTAACATGAAAAGTTATGGGAAATCAGAGAATTTTTCAAATAATTAGTGAGAATCAAATTTTTAATCAATTACATTTAAATACAAAAATTTAAAAATAAATTATTAAACTCAAAGATCTGATTTTATATACTATTTGTTTTAATCATTTGTAAATAATTATTATTTGTTAGTTTTAATTTAATAAATTAAATATTTTTAAATTATAAATAATAATAATCATTACCTATCAAAGTCTATCTACCTAAACCCAAAGTAATTCATTCGAAACACCGCCTTTGTTTGCTGACCAAGGAAATCAAAAGTCAAAACGAGAACAAACTACACCCAACTTCTCCTCGTTAACCCGTAATTAGCCGGTAAAAGTTCATCGTGCGCTCCTCAATTGGCCCCGGAAATAACCGGAAAACATGGGTTTCCCGCGAAAACTGCCCGATTTCTTAACGAACTTAAATAAAAAAAATGGTTCTTCCCCATTTCTATCACTCAGGGAAACCCCTTTTTCTCACCTTTTCCCGGAAATTCTCTCTTTCTTTCTAGCTCGCCGACACTTTTTCTCAACAATACCCCACTATCCAACTTTCCCAAATTATAATGATTACAATTTTTTTTTTAAAGAAAAATATTTGCTTGAATAATCTTTGTCCCCACCATCACATCCCTAACGTTTTTTTCTCTTAATTTTTAATGAAATGATGGCTTAGTCTAGTCACCCACAATTTTTTTATAGGGTGTGTTCAAAATTGGTTGAAGAAAAAGTAGGTGGCGATGGGGTTCATAAAAAAAAAAAAGGGAGATGCTGGGAGATGATATTTGGCGGCAATAGCATTTTAAAAACATGTCCGGTTTGGACAATGAATGGTTACAAATTTTAGGTACAGTTTGACTGTCCTGTTTCGTTTATCTTATGCTTGATTCAACAAATTTTTTCCCTTTTTTAAATTTTGGAATGAAAGCTTTTGGCTACATCTGGATTTCTTCTTTTTTCTTTTTTCTTTTTTTAAAGAAAGAAATGGGAATCTGTTAAGGGGTATGATGTATAACGCAAAGAATCTGTTAATGGGTATGATTTATAATGCAAAGTTGTGACCTTTATCTAGCTTGAGAAGCCATATGTTGCTCTATCTGTTGCAGGGGTTGAAATGATCAATTGGGAAATTGGGGCGGTTCTTAAGGAAGATAAGTTTGCAGAATTTCTGCAAATTCATGGGAAGAACAGAATCAATCTGAATTTGGGAAAGTAAATATATATATATATCGAAAAATATGCCTTCTGAGGTGGAAATTAGGGCTGGTGAGGGGAAGAATGTGGTTGTTGGAATTAGAATTGATAACCAAAGCAGGGATTTGCTCAGCTGGACCCTAGGGAAAGTTGCTGAACCTGGAGATTGTGTTATTGCAGTTCATGTTACTCAAGGATCAGGTACCGCCTTTTACTAAAAAATTATCTCTCATGATGAATGGTTTCTTGACTTTTGTTCTTAATCCCTGTTTTATAATATGAATTTTGATGTAGATAATGCTTTGAGAGGGAAGTTGTTGATGGAAAATTATTTAGAAGTATATGAAGGCCTATGTTCTGTAAAGAAGGTATGTAAAAATCATTTAATTTGCATTTAGCATTAGTAGTTCACCAAAAAGAATGGAAGGGCTGATTTAGATTCTAATATTTGAGTATTAGGTAGCTCTTAAGGGTCAGATCTTTAGAGGAAGTTCTGCTCGAAAGGTTTTGGTTAGGGAGGCAAAGAACTTTGCAGCTGTGGCTTTAGTTGTGGGTGTAAGCAAGCAAAGAGCTCTTAGGTAAGGGCAGGTGGAGATTTTGTGCTTTGTTGTTTGTTCAAGTTTGTGTGATTCTTTTCTAACATCTTTTTCAGTGCTTGGACTTCAACAGCTAAATATTGCGCCAAGAGATTGCCTCCAACTACTGACATTCTAGCCATCCATAATGGGAAAATCATCTTTAGAAGTTGCAACAATAAACAACAACCAGGTTTGTTCTGCTCTATGTGCGGAAGATGGTAATGAAACACTTGATTCTAGATTTTTTGTATTGACTAATGATTATGCCAGGTCTCAAAGGTGATCCAAAACCAAGTTTTTGTTTACCTGAAAGCCCCACTTTCAAAGAATACCAATCTGAATTTGGTGATTCTGAAGTAGGGACTGAGGTAACCAGTTCAGAAGGGATTCAAAGCTCCAAAGATGAATCAAGACATGGTAGTGAGGACTCAAAGGACGAGATATTTAGTGTTATCCATGAAGAGAAGGGAGTTTATTTGCGGAAAAGTTCTCCTTTCTCAGGAGATATTTTGGAGCATAGGCCTGGTTGGCCCTTACTCCAAAGACATATGTCAGGAGTACCACAAGCATCTCAGGCAAGGAATGTGTCAGTGGTGCAATGGGTAATGAACTTACCAACTCGCTCCTCATATCAAATATCTCAATGTTCAACTATTGAAGAAGGTAAAATGGAAAGGGAAGTAAGTGGAGATATAGAAGAGAGTACCAGTATTAGTTCATCTGCTTTATGTGAGCTATGGAGAAGATTGGAGATACTCCTGGAAACAAAATCATCTAAGTTCAAATGGTTCAGTTATGGAGCTCTAAAAGTTGCAACTTCCCAATTCTCTTCAGGTTCTTACCCTTGAGATGCTTTGACTTTGAGATTACTGATCATTTTTAATGCATGTTTTCTTGCTAAAATTTGCTTCCATAACAGAAAATCTGATTGGAAGAGGAGGATGTAACCATGTGTATAAGGGGATCCTTCCAGATGGCAAGCCAGTTGCAGTCAAGATCCTGAAGTCATCCAAGGCATGGGAGGATTTTGCTCATGAAGTTGATATCATCTCCTCAATAAAGCATAAACATATCATGCCTCTAATTGGGGTCTGCATTGAAGACAATGATCTTATATCTGTTTATGATTTATCATCTAAAGGAAGCTTAGAAGAAAATCTACATGGTAATGAGGTTTATTTTTCGCTTTGCTTCATGAAAAGTTGTTATAAATCATGCTGATGGAAGTTCATGTGTGTATGATGCAGGAAAGAACAAAGATAAGCATGCCCTGTCATGGGAAGTGAGATATAATATTGCTGTTGGGATTGCTGAAGCCCTAAACTACCTTCATAATGAGTGTTCTCAACCTGTAATTCATAGAGATGTTAAATCTTCAAACATTCTTCTTTCAGATGAATTTGAGCCACAGGTACGAAAATGGTAGTTATGGTAGTTTTGAGTGTTAATTTCTCACAAATTGATGAAGTGGCTTAATTTTGTTTCAATGTGACAGTTATCTGATTTTGGGCTAGCAATGAGGGGACCTACTACTTCTTCGTTTCTGATTCAAGATGATGTTCTCGGGACATTTGGTTATCTTGCTCCTGAATATTTCATGTATGGAAAAGTTAGTGATAAGATAGATGTCTATGCTTTTGGTGTTGTTCTACTTGAACTGCTATCAGGAAAAGAACCAATAAGTTCTGAGATTCCTAAAGGTCAAGAGAGCTTGGTCATGTGGGTAAGAGTCTTCTTGGAGATATGATATTTCTTTCACTTCTGTTATATCCATTAATTATACTGAAGTACTTTGATTTCAGGCAAAGCCAACCATAGAAAGTGGGGATGTCAAAAGCATACTCGATCCTGATTTGGACAAGAAGATCAACGAGCTTCAGCTGGAAAAAATGGTGCTTGCAGCGAACCTCTGCCTCACTTGCTCATCTAGGCTTCGACCAAATATCAGTGAGGTACTAACCAACATTACAAAGTTTTTATATTCTAGAAACATATGTTTGGCCATTGCTTATCAGCAATAAAGTTCCTTGACATCTCCCTTTTCTCCAGATACTGAAGCTCCTAAGAGGGCAGCAAGATGTTGAGAAGTGGATCAACTTACAAAATGAAAACACAGAAAACCAAGATGACAACGATGATGAAGTTTATCCAAATTCAAGAAGAGAGTTACATTTAGGACTTGCATTACTCAGTATTGATGATGATTCTCCATCATTTAGTAGTGTGGAGCAAAGCACTAATCTCTCTAGTGAGGAATACTTGAAAGAAAGATGGAGCAGGTCATCAAGCTTCAATTAGCTTCTCTTTCAGTTTCTTTCTTTGTTTTACAAAAAAATTGCCACAAAAAAACTAGGAGTGAAGATTTATATATTTGAACCTGTACAGTTTTGAAAAAAAAAGGAATAGAGAAACTGCACCCCAGTGCTGAGGTGTTCGTGGAGGTAGACTCTGTTAAAGGGTAGTACTTGAGTTAGATTTTTTGTTTCACATGATCAGAGTCATAAACAAAAGAAAAGGAATCCTTCACAGATTAGAATAAGACAGAAACAGCTAATGTTCATAGTTGAAACAAAGCTACAATAAGATTAATTCCCAGACATGGACAGATTATCAGATCCTAGAGTAAATCATATTCATGGGATGTATACTCTATGCCATTTCTCATTCTGGTTATAGATAAGGATAGCAGCAAGCGCATTCCCAAACCCAGCAACTGAACTGATCTTCATCCCTATAATGTTGGTGTGTTCCTACTAACAGTTTTAGTATTGTATTCCAAATGGATAAGCATAAGTAACAGCATGGAGGAAATACATGGCATGTGGGTAAAGGGTTGAGTTTCCATGGCATAAATCATAACGCCATGCATTAGATGTCTCCATCATGTCATTAAGCTGCTTTGTTCTACGGAGCCAGTCTTGATTATCAAACTTACAGTCTGGAAAATGCAGGGGACCTGGAATCCAGTACTCTCCAAATTGTAATTCTATCTTCTGCATACTGCCATTCAAGTGTATGGATGCTGGAAACATAGGTAGATCAACCCATGAAGTGCATCCTAAGTAATAAAATGGAGAGATCCAAATATTAGTATCAATGAATATAGCAGAACAACCAAAAAAATATAGAGAGAATGGCAATGGGTATTTACCCTCCATGATTATGGTTATGGCAGCCATAGTCATGCTAGCTTTGATCATTCCTTCCAATACTTTGGCGGTCGCCACAAGAGTCATATGGGCAGACAAACATAGGTTGCCTAAGGTCTTCGGTGCAGCTCCTTCCTAATTCCTGTGTTTCACATTCTATTTCACTTGTTTTTTCACCTTTCTTGCTCCTTTTGCTCTTTTTCTGCAAAATCTCTCCTTCCTCTTTCTCTACTTTTCCTCTTTCTTCCTTTTCCTTTCAGCCTTCAATTCTTCTGCCCTGACCTAAAACACACAGAACAACAATAGCCAATTTGATAGAATCAAGCAACACCGATGTGTGCATCTCTTGAACTTAGAACCAGAACCAACTGGAACATTCTGAGCATAAAAAATAAAAATCCATTCAGAACATACCTTAATTCGTTGTAGAAGATCCTCGCCGCAGACACCATTCCAGGCATACCCTTGTGGAGGGAAGGGCAAACACCGTGACATTGTACAAATGGATCAACAAGAACCAGCCCAAAACATCAAGAACTAACTAAAATGTTATGAACCAATAGTGTTGGGAGTGTTTGAAAGTACGAGTGTGAAATACCAAAGAGAAAACAAAAGATTTATGTTCTACCATTAAGATAAACCCAATAATTAATTTAAGAATGGGAAAGGTTTTGAATTGTTCATGTTCTGGAATAACCATTCCTCAAGTGTTTCCCGCCAGTTTTGCTTTATTTATTTATTTTTTATTTTTTTAAAAAATATGGCACTGATGTTTATTTAAAATTTTATTTATATATAGGTTAAGTGCTAAATTTAGTCTCTCAACTTTACGAAATGCACATTTTTGATTTCTCAATAATTTTTTGCATTTTTTTGATCCATTGACTCTAAAAATTGCACAGTTTTGATCCCTCCGTCAGTCAGTTAAGTAAATGTGGCAGTTAAATAATTTCATGTGGCATTGTCTTTTAATTTTTTTGATGATGTGGCAATAATATATATTATAATTATGTTATATAAATAAATAAAAATGTCACATAAATTAATATGTAAATTTTAATTAAAAACAAATAAAATTACCTTATTACCCTCACTCTCCCAATCCCTCTTCTTCCTCTTCTTTCTTTCTCTTTCTTTCTTTCTTTCTTACCTACCTTGGGATAGGCTGGGTTCCATCGAACCTAGCAAGGCTAGGTTTCGAGGAACCCAGCCTTAGCTGCTTCGCGCAACCAGCCTGGTTTTGTCGAAGGTTGGGTTCGTGGAAACCTAGATCGACTGGGTTCCGATGAACCCAGCCTTGCTGGTCACACGAACCAGCCTTGCTAGTTTTGTCGAAACCCAGCTTATCTGGGTTTGTCGAAACCCAAATTGGCTGGGTTCCGATGAACCTAGCCCTGCTGGTAGCGCAAACCAACCTTGCTGTTTCGACGTTGAGTTCATGTTTTTTCATTCTTCTTTTGATTTCCATTCCCAGTTGTTAATAAATTTGGGAGTTGATTTACAATTTAATTGCATTTTTGTTGAAATTTGATTACAGTTTGATTGTATTTTTGTTGGAATTCGATTAGAGTTGGATTGGTATTGTTTATTGAAGGGTTCATTTGATTTGATAAGATCTGTCAGGTTTGAGGGTTCAAGGAAACCTAGTAGCTCAAGTTCCCCCGAGAAAAGAGAAGAAGAATAAATGGGTTAAGATCGGTTTTGTAGATGGAGTGGAGATGAGAGAGCATTCAGAGAAGAAGAAGAAATGGGTTAAGATCGATTTTGCAGATGAAGTGGAGATGAGAAAGCATTCAAAGAATAAGAAGATATGAGTTAGATTGATTTTGTAGAGAGTGAAGATGAGAGATCAGTTTGTAGGCAACTTGGGATTTGTGGGAAGATGACATGTCATCAAAAAAGCCTAGATTAACACCTTTTTAAGTTATCCTCGTCATGTCATAAAAAAAAATATAAAAAATGTCATGTGGTCGAGTTGACGGCCCAAACTGATAGAAGGATTAACGGAGTGTATTTTGTATAGTTGAGAGATCAAAAAAGTGCAAAAAATTGTTGAAGGACAAAAAATGTGCAACTCACTAAAGTTGAGGAACCAAATTTAGCATTTAACCTTATATATAATAGTTTGTTTTTATTCTTTTCCGCATATCTTGTATTCTAACCACTCATTTCACATTTTTTTGAGTTTATTCATGGGATTTTAATGAATAAAAAAAATTAGTTTGTATTAAATTTTAAAAAAAAAGGAGAATAGAAAATGGTAGTGAATTTTCTAACTTTGTTCACAAAAGGAATGATGTTTTAATAATTATTTTTTCATTTTCTATGAAAAATATGAATTACTATGTTGAGCCCTTTTGGATTGGGGGAAATTGGAGGGAAAGGAAAGGAGAGGAAGATATATCTCATTTTTGTGTTTAGATTACTTATTTTAATGGAAGACGAGAGAGATAGCGATAGAGATGGAATCCTTTCCACTCTTTTTTTTTATTTTTTGATACATTTAATGATGAGTTATATAAGAAGGGATAGTCCTCTTTTATTCCGAAAACCCTTTTCACCTTACTCAAGATTCGAACTTGAGATCTCCAATTTGAAGCCTCAAACTCTTAATCGTTTGGTCATTATATTGAGGTTTCCACTCTTTTATTGTTAATCCCTCTTAATCAGAAAAATTGGAAGGGATTGACTTTATACATTTAATTTTTTTTAATTTTTAAAAAATAAATATATAAAAATATTTTATATTAATTATTTTTTAAATTAGTGAAATTTAAAATCTTTTAATCTATTTTACTTTATTTTTATTTAAATTATTTAATTAAATAAAAATATTATCTTTTTTTTTTTTTTTTTCAAAAAAATTAGTATCAATCTTTTCCTTTTTTTACATCTCTTTTTTTCCCTTTCCCTCCCCTTCTTTCGTTTCCCTTTACTAATTTATATCCAAACCAACACTGAGAGCTCCTAGTATTTTCCTATCCCTACACCCTCCCCCATTTCCATTAAAAAACAAAAACTTTCATTTCCTATTACTAGCACTACTCTAATTCCAAATCATTTCAAACCTTTGGCTTAGTTGGTGAGTAATGAAGGGTCTTTTCGTTTTTCTTGACTCTCGTCCTCTTCTTCATCATTATCATTGTAGAATTAGATTCTAAATTATTGGTATTTTTATTATTAAATATTTTTACTAACCCTACCAATTAACTTGATATATTTTTTTAACAATAATATCTCATGTAGATCTTAATTTTAAGTACACATGTCCAGATGTGATGGGTAAAATAATAAAAATGGTGGTGCTATTGAGATAATTTTTTTATCTTATTTTTTATATAATTTTTATATATCATTAAATAAGTAGATATATTCAATATTACAGTTCTTACATGAATTAAAAGAATTAATTATTTTAATGACACGTTAGGTTGTATAAAAAAATAGGATGAAAAAATTGTATGAAAAGCATTTCTCTAATAAAAAATAAATTCTATGCAATTAAAAAATAATTATTTTTTTATAATTAGTCAATTATATTTTATAATTTGAATTGTATTAAATTGTAAAATAAAAATTATTAAATTTTAAAAAAGCTACTAAAATCAAGCAGCCAATTCTTATTCAATAGCTAATTTTATTAAATTTGATTTTTTGTTATGGATAAATCACCCTTCTTCTTTTTTTCTTTTTCTTTTTTTTGATAAGATAACTAAACCACCATTAATTATTACTAGTCAAACCATTGATTATTGTTGACACTTCACAAGTAATTCAAATCCTCCCATATTTTTCGTAATAAATCATGATAGATGAGCACCTACCTTGATGCTTCCTAAGAACCCAATCTTGACTTTTAACAATCAATGTGAGCGATGGAGATGAAACTGAACCCCACTAAATGCCCTCAACTTCCATAAACTTCATGGGCACCGCCAAACTTTTTTTTTTTTAATTTCCAAAAAAAAAAAGCAATTTATTCCTTACGCCTAAAGCCCTCAAATACCTTTAAATTAAAACCGAAGGACATCTTTCAGAAAAACCTTTGAAAACGATCCCCTGAAATCTCTGCGCCAACCGGTCCCCATCGTTTTTACCGTATTATTTGGTCCATTTTAGCAAAGCCAGTCCCATTTTTTAATTCCGCTTTGCAGGTCTTTGGTCTCTTTTTAATTTTTGAAAAAAAATAAAATAAAAGTGCGCTGCTTGTTTTCTAGGGTTTCCAACTGAAGTGAAGTCTATGATGATTATTTGTCTGCAATTCCTTTAGTTCTTCGTTTTTTCTAGTTCTGTTAAACCTTGCTCGAATCGAGTTCTTCACCGTTTAACGGGATTTGAATTTTGTGGCGTAATTTGATTGTCAAGGTAAGCTTCTCCTGGTTGAGGAAAAAGTTATTTGATTCAGTTTTAAGTTTTTTTATTTTTTTCTGTAATTTGTTATCAGTTATTGAGAATCGGACTTGGGTTGTGACGGAATTGCGTGAATTTCATGTCTTTTTGTTTCTTTGATTTGAGGTTTTGATTGATTTGGTTACTCTGTTCGTTACTGATTAGGATTTTCCTCATACGTTATTGCAGTTGGCTAAGATCTTTCAAGTACAGTAGTGAGGAGTATTTATAATCTGGGTCTGGCTCAAAATCCTAAATTTAGGTGTTCTCTTTCTTAACTTACTTGTAATGGACGACGGGGAGCTTGATTTTTCTAACCAAGAAGTGTTTTCGGGTAATAACATTGGTGAAATTCCAAGCAGTTGCTCAATGGACGGCTTTTTTGATGAATTACAATTACTCAACGACACACTTGCTTGCAGTCATACACATACTTGCAACCCACCTGGCCCTGATTACTCGCATACACACACTTGTTTCCACGTGCATACCAAAATTGTTCCTGCCCAAAATGAAGATAAGGCTGCTACTGATGACACTGCAGAGTCAACAGAGCAGAAATCAAAGAAACGCCCCTTAGGTAACCGAGAAGCTGTTAGAAAGTATAGGGAGAAGGTTAAGGCTCGGGCTGCCTCATTGGAGGATGAGGTTGTGAAATTGAGGGCCATAAACCAGCAGTTGTTGAAGAGATTGCAGGGTCAGGCAGCTCTGGAGGCTGAGATTGCAAGGCTCAAGTGTTTGCTTGTAGACATCCGAGGAAGAATTGAAGGGGAAATTGGATCATTTCCTTATCAGAAACCCACCAATGTTAACATGCCTTCTATGAGTTTGCCTAGTGCACATATGATGAATCCTTGCAATATGCAATGCAATGATCAGGTTTATTGTCTTCACCTTGGACCAGAGGGAAAAACAGGAGAAGCTGCATCACTGAATGGGCAAGGCGTTGGTGGCTGTGACTTTGACAATCTTCAGTGTTTGGCTAATCAGAACACAGGAGCGAAGGAGCTTTCTCCATGTGGAGTTGGAAATGCAAAGTCCAATGGTAATGCTTCTGGCAGCAAAAGGAAGAGAGGTGAGGTTTTTTCTTTCTCTCATTTTTAATGGATGTAGGATGCTCAGTGGGCATGTTGGTTTCAGTTACTAATTTTATCTTGAAATTTGCAAAATAGGACATGTTTTTCCATTGAAGATGTATCTTGCTTGGGTTTTGCTTAAACTTCTTAGTTTTTAGAGCTAATGTAATGCCTGCTTCATCCTGTGCATGTAGGAACTGTAATAGATTTTAGATTTTTGCAACTATATCAAATAAGTTTTTCTTTGTAATTAGGGCTTAGAAAGGTAAGTAGAGGGATGGAGAAGATTTCCTTATTGGAATATTGAGTCCCATGGAGTTCATTCTGTGAGTTGGACTAGATTTATGATTTATCACAAGTTAATTTTGGTCTCTTTTTTTCCTTTTTTTCTTTTTAATTCTTTTTCTTTTCTCTCTGCATGTGTGTGTGTGTGTGTGTTGAAAGATGCTAAAAGTAAATTCTAAGTACTAGAGTGCTCAATGGCCTTGTTTCTGGTTTAGTTTGTTTGAATTGACGTGGCAATGCATGCATCATAACTTGGCATGGTCATTCAAAGGCCCTTTCAATCATGATCAAAACTTATATGACCATGTTTTGAATATTTGGAGCTATTCTCTGTTCCCTCTTATTCTTGGCAGTGAACTTGATTGTAGCTATAATCCTTATGTAACTGTGTAGTAGCATTTTGCAACTCTGATACTGATATTTGTTTTCTTTAAAGGAGCTGGTGCAGCAACAGCAAGTTGAAGAACATTTCAAAGAGTTATCCTTAATCTGCAGGAGTACATACTTTCTTCCAATAACAGGTTTTCTGAAGCTGCTGTGCACTCCTTTAGGTCACTATTATTTATTTATTTATTTATTTTCCCTTCTTTTCCATATTTCCTTTCTCAGCCCATCTTGTGCGTTCAAGAGTTTAAGAATTACTTTTGTAACCCAACTCTTGTTGGATTTTCTGCTATTAGTTAGTGGTTTAGCTAGTTATGCTCTTAATTACAAGAAAACTTGTATAGCAGGAACTTTTGAGTTTGATGCTCGTAGCTTTAGCAGAAACCGTATTCTGGTAAAGATACAATCAGCTTGATAATGGTAATATTCCTTAGTCATTAATCGTTATCTATATAATGGGACATTATTTCAGTGATTGCTTGTGCCACCACTGACGCACTATTTTGCTGATTTCTTTTCAAGTTTATAGGCTCTTGTTTTGTTTTGGTGTGGGGCAGTTTTTAACTTTTTATTTCTTTTACCGTTCTGGCTTCTATTGAAGTTTGGCTGGGTTGAGTTTTAGGAATTCTCTCATTCTAAAATCTAAATATTTACTCCCTTTTTTTTTTTAATTTATCTATACATATAACTCATTATGCACACAATTTTAGGCTATAGTTTTATATAGCATATGAATGATTGTTGTTTTTTTTTAAGGGTTTTTTTTCTAACATGTGCTAGTATAAATTAAAAATGTAATAAATATGCTTTTTTGGTCATAAATCTATGTCGAAAAAACAAAAGTTGATATTTAATTTATCAACAATCCAATTAAATCCATTCACATGGAAACAACATTAAAATTAATGGTAATTTTTACATTATTTTATGCAAATTTATGATGAAAAAGTATCCTCAATCTGTGGTTTTTAAAAATTTTCCTTTGTTAATGCATACCACTTGTGAACTAGTTTCATTTTATCAAAAATGAAATTCAGTTATCCTTCATATATTATACAAAAGTATCACTTAAAATTATGAGTGCGAAAGTCTGAATAGACAGATAAATAAGGAGCATGAATTTGGGTTTGCTGCCCATTCATGGAGAATTGGGTCTCCCAGTTTCTGTTGCTAACAAGTAGCTAAAGTCTAGGATCAATGTCTAGACTTGGGGGGACTAAAGCAATGTGAATTCCGCGTTGCTAAATTACAGGATTTAGGGCAGGTGGATTGTTTTTGATGTTTGATTACAGAAAGCTGTAACAGATGAGAAATAGATTTCTGTTTTCTATGGGAAATGGGAATAACAGCCCACTTGCTAATTTGAAAACCTTAATTGTGAAGATTAAGGCGAAGTGTTTGCGTAATTTGAGACCATGCAATGGCAAAGTATTAAGATTCTCTGCCCACTGAAAAAATAAAAATAAAAAAGCACTGCTTGTCTTTGCAAAACCCCATTCTTATGAGGTGAAGGGGGCCACACTGAATCAGTGATATTTCATGTTGCTTTTAAGGGGCGATGCGGATGCCTGCTGCTGTTGCCTCATGCCACCAGAAATTAACCATAGAACAACATTCAAACTTTAAATTAACATTTAAAAAAGAAAGACTTATGACGTCTTAAAGTTCAGAAAGTAATCACTGCTTTCGTGATACTGTTCAACATCACAGACCCAGAAGACACTCTGCCCATACTGCTTACTTGTCAGATCCTACATCAACCACCAGATACAGGAATGAACACTAACCTAGGAAATATGACCATGCTTGCTCCATGGTACACTGCATGTAGCCCCTTCATCTCTGAGCCAATGTTTACGGATGGCATCACTCATCAGGTCCTTGCCAGTCATCATCTTCACGATAGATGCTCTCCGCCATTTGCCAGACCTGAAGAGTGTTATCCTCAGCTACGCTTGAAATGACCCATGGTTCATTTTTGTTCCAGGAGAAGTCTGATATCTTTGCCTTGTGACCTCCATGAGAAAACAGAAGCTCTGGAGGACCATCCTCAGCATCCAACTCTATTTCTAATTGCTCTTCCCCAATCCTGAAGTCAACAGCACATCAACACAGCAACGCAAATTTTCCCGGAAAAGGATAATTTTACAACAGAATCAACTACAGATAATCATGGTTAGTTGATTGAGTAAAAATCATTTTTAGTCACAATCAGAAATGATAACATTCCACGAGAAAACAACTGAACAGTTTGGATTGGCACAATCAAAATCCCAGAAGGCATAGAATCAGTTTTTTGGTTAATCAACATCCCGATCAAATGCAAATTTGAAATCTTAGAACAACACCCAATATCTCAAACGTACAACCTCTAGTTGTACCTCTATCTTCATGGGATCAAAATATTTTTAAAAGAAAATAATTATTAGAAAAAATGAAATAGAGGTTGATCCAATGGCATTGTAGAAGATTTTTTCCTAGAATCAATTCCTGATATTAAATACCTGTTAAGGTCCCAAACCATCAACCTTCTATCATCACCAGAAGATGCCAGCACTGTCTCGTGATTAGGATCCCATTCTACTTGGAAGACCTCCCCACTGTAAACAAAATCAAGAGTAAGGTGAGTCTAATATCAAAGATTTTTTAGCACTGTACTCCTATTGCTAGGTTCAAAAGTTCACTCTTCTTTCTCCTTTTCAAAAAGGATGAAGTGGATCACCCAAGTATTCTCTGAGCAGAGTTTAAAAAAAACAATATCTACTTGTAGTAATAAAACTGAAAATCCATCAGTAGGGAGGCATAAATACGTGTGACTGCTTAAAACATGTAATGGCGCTGTAAGCTTCCGCGTATCAAACAGAGCAACAGTAGAGTCTGAAGATGCTGTAGCGAGAACCCATTCATTATAGGGATTGAAAGATAAATAATTGATCTGGGACATAAGAAAGGGAATTTCTTATTAGACAATTATTTGTAAATGTGGAGCATAACACCACATGTTACAAAGGAACCTTTACAATATCAGGAGATTTAAACATATAACAGATATAGAATTGAGAAGACTTCACCTCTCTCTCATGAGCTTTGACACGATTTTCTGTTTGGTTTGTGCGCATGTCCCAAATCATCAATTGACAATCATCTCCTGCAGACCCGAATATGTTCTCATTCTTCAAATGCCATGACACATCTTCAACCACACTTTCATGAGCCTAAAGTAACATTCAAAAATATCATAATCAATCATCCAATTACCAAGGTTGAAGACTAGTGTTTTCTACAACTACCAGGAATTAACCAAAGAGTAAGAACCAAAATTACCTCATAAACATGCATTGCATCAAGCACCTTATCTTGAGGCGCAGCAGACACATCCCACAGACATATCTTGTGATCTTGAGAACCGCTAAGAAGATAACCCTCCTTAAAAGGACTCCAGGACAATCCATACCCTTCCTTGTCATGACCCCTCAATCGCAACTCAGGATCAAATTCATGTTCTTGTTGATTTTCTGCCTGCTTGGCATAATCAAATAGAAAAATCTCAGTGCCACTGGTCTTTGCAGCAATCATAGTTGGCTTCTGCAGCATACACCTGGCCCTATTCACTTCACCATCAACGCGCATTTTTTGAGTGATCTCCACCTACCAACAACCAGATATTCCATCAAGGGGGAAAATGAAAGAGAAAGCATTTCTCAACAAAAATGAACTGAATGCAACTCTTCAGTCAGTGTTGTCGAATGCACTGATCTTTTAGTTAAAATAAATAGCACTTCAGAAAATTCTCTTACAAATAAAACATGACATTTTCATCCAAAAATTGCGGGCATAGGACTCTGAAGTATTAGTTTCATTGGAAAACTAAAATGTTATAGAAATTTTCTCATACAAAGAACAAGAGGCGAGACACTTTGAGCTGGTAACTTTTGTTTAAAATGTTAACAATTGTCACCCATTCCCTTAAAACACTATTCAAAAGTAAATCCCAAACTAGAAACTCAGTTGACTATTTACAAAAGCAATCCCTTCAAAATTAAAGTGGATGTAGGATTTTCAGCTATCAGATATAACAATAATAATGGTAAAGGCAATTCATTAACCACTTAGCACCCAAAAAAATATTCATTACAAAATTTAAAAAAAAAAAATCAGTTAATGGACTTGAAATTATAATCTACTCTTAGAACTAAACCTTGCAATCAAAGATAATATTTTTATAGATAATAATAAACAAAACAAAAAAAAAAAAAACTCAAATTATAACCATGCAAATGTTTTCAGCTAGAAATTTCGTCGAACAGTTGGTGTCCACAAAATTTTCAACCAACTAGACTTCACTAATAATTTCGCCAAAAAAGTTCAAAGGCACTGAAAAAACCACAAGCAATACAGAACCCAAAACACAAACCTTAGGAATAACCGGCTCCTCATTTCTGCCAGCAATGTTGGATTCCGCTTCGAGGGTTGGGACGAGGGCTTCGGCAATCATAAGAAAATCCGTAGCGCCACCAGAAGTGTGCGTCCCGAGGACGAGTTTGTGGACGCCGAAAGTCGGGTCGGCGGTGCAGGGTACCGGTGAGAGTGGGACCCAGTGAACGGTGAGAGATGGCCATTCGAGAGGATGAGAGATGAGGAGATCGTACAGGAATGGGGTGTTCTTCTTCCACACGCTGAACTCTTCCTCGACTTGATCTGGATTCTCAGGATCGTCCGCCATGGATTCTCTCTACCTCTTCTGTATGAGCTCCGTTTCTCAGTTGCTTCGGTTTTTGTTTTGAGTGCGGGGGTCGGATGTGCGCGCGCTCCTTAGGCCGTTTTCCCGCCAAAGTACAGTAGAATTGGGCCGGAAATTTCAAAACCCAAAGGAAGATTTGGGCGCGGCCCATAAATTTAAGCTACTGTAGTTGAGCTGGGGGCTGGGTTATTGTGGGTAAAATTGAAAGGAAGCCCTTAATCCTTTATCTAAATTTGTTGTCACACTCTGAACAAGACACATAAATACTTTTTTCCTAATATACGAATGATAATTTGAAAAAAAAAATTAATCTGTAATTTTTGTTAAGTAATTCAATTTTTTTTTAAATAATTATTATTTATATACCAAAGAAAACTATCATCTAAAAATACATGCTCAATCAAAGTGTGATAATTAAATAAAAACAAAGGGTGTATTTTTTTGGACTTAAAAGTATTATACATAGAAAAAAATACATATCAATTTTAATTTTAAAAAAATTGAAATTCTAATTTTAAATTACGTTATTTCAATTTAAAATTTAAAATTTTATTTTATTAAATATTGATATTTAAATTTAAAAACTGATTATATTAAAAATTTATATGAAATTATTTAAATATTCTTAATAAATATTTCTTGTATATTTTTCATTTAAAGAACTTAAGTCATTTCAGTATTATTTTTAACATTTTAATTATCAAGAAGGATTGATTTTTCAC